GGACAGCCAATCAACATTAACATCATGTGTTTTTCCATGATGCTTGATGTCGCGGAGGCGGTCTATTCGGCCGTCTTGGGCTCTTGAGGTCCTCCTTCGGGGCCTCTTGGTGCTGCCTTCGAGGCCTCCTGGGATCCCTTGGTTGTGGGACTCCTGGGCAGCCTGGAGCGGCCAGGATGCTGAGGCCCCCCCCCTCAATGTTTGTTGGGGCCCTGGGTCTCCCTTTAGAATGGGGCTCCCCCTAGAAGACAGTAGAATTCAGACAGGACTGACTGGAGAGACGAGAGGCAAAACCGAAAGACAGCACACAGTCCAGCAGCAGTATCACAGCCTTGCACTCCCAAGGGGGCCGGTGGATATAAACTCTGCCGCCAAGTTGCGCCCAATGTGCATGCCCTAGCTGACTCCCCTGGGCAATCGCTCGCAGTCGTTTGTCTCAAGCAGGGCCCCACAGAGGAGTGGCAGCGATAGGAGGGGTTAAGAGAGCAGACTGGATGCAATCGTCAAGTTTGTCGTCCTTCTTGCCTCACCTCCTGCCGCCATGGGGCAGAAGCACGAAGGGACAGGGCCATGGAGGGGCCCTCGGTGCGGAGGTGACTGCGACCAGGGCCTCTCTCCTGGCGGCCCTTCTGGGCTACGTTCTGGTCAGAGGGTTCCTGGTGAGCACCGTGGGCCGGCCGTGCGGCCTGCTGCCCGAGGAGAAGGTCCTCTCTCCAGTGGTCCTGGGCCTCCTGAGGGCCCTCGGGAAGCTGCTGAGCCGCTGCCGTGGGCGGCTGGGCGCCGGTGCGGCCGCGCACCCGCGGGCCAAGCGGTTGCCGGCGGACGTCGCAGGCACGAGGCCGCCCGTGGGCTCACCGCACGCGGACGCCCTGAAGGGCGCGCCCGGCGCTGCCTCGGAGGAGCCGCGCGTGGCGTCTGCCCACTCGGCCATCTCCGCCGCCCGCCACAGCGTGCAGAGGCAGGCGATGCTCGCCTTCTCCCAGCCCGTCGACCACGCTGGGGCTCTGAAGATGTTCCCGGACGAGGGGTTCGAGATCGGCCGGACCATCTTCGCCACGCTCAACCTTCTCGGACCGGGCGAAAGGGGGGGATTGGGAAAGGGGGGGTTACGAAATCTGTTGCATGCAGCTGGTTTCGGCCCCACCGAGGGGCCCATTCCTCGATACATGGGCGCCTCCAGCGCCGGGAGGCGCCGGGAAAATCAGCTACGTGAGCTGATTGTCACCCCCCCCCTTTGCTATCCCCCCCTTTCGCCCGGCCCGACCTTCTCCCCCGCCTGAGGCAGACCGCGAAGATGGGCAATCGCCACTTCTGGGACGCAGAGAGGGTCCAGGCCGTGTTGAGAGCGGTGTCTTGTCGGCTAGAGAGCTTGAGTCTCGGCCAGAGTGGCAGTCCGGATGCCAAGAATATGGGCGACCCTGAACAACAGGACGGCAGGTTGGAATCGCACCTTTCCGAAGGAGAGTCTCTGCGTTATCCGTTCCCCGATGTCCCAAATTTGGTGGAAGGGGGCTGTCACCCGACCAAACCTATAGTGGACTGGAAGATGGGCGAGATCTTGGAGTTGATGAGGGAGCATTGTGACTTCTCCTGTGAGCACGCCGATGGCTCTTTCCTGGACCACCTGGAGTTCTGCAGGGACTACTCCGCCCTCCACTACAGCAGGGAGAGCCCGCGGATTCTCTTCCTGCACTCCATCCTCGGGGCTGCCACCAACCAGTTCCCTCTGCCGGCGAACAAGATCGACAAGTTGCAGGACTGCCTGACCCCACTAGAGTTCCTCCACGTGCAGTGTTTCCCAACGATGCTGAGGCTGATGAAGGGGACCAACCTGCTCAGGGACATTTATCACCTCTGGCGCACCGACTCCCGCTTCCGTTCTCCGGACTCCTCGGGTGTGTACCTGAAGATTTTCAGGGTGATCGACAACGCGCCTCTGGTGCTGAGTTTGGAGGAGGTGTGGGTTCAGCTGAACCTCCTGCTCATCCACTCTCTAGACTTCATCCCGGAGATGGGTTGGAGGAAGTTTGAGGCGAAGAAGGACCCTTTTCTAGACGAGTTTCTGCAGCTGTCCATTCTGCTGAGGGTGTGTGGACAGTTGAGGTGTGATGTGAGGATGCCGCAGCAGTTCGGAATCGTGAATCTGGAAAACCAGTCCAGCTATGCCCGGAAGCTTGCGCGCAGCGGTGACTTCAAGCTGCCCGACAATTTCCAGTCATTCCAGTGCGCCTTGGACCCGGAGTTCAACGCAGCTCTGGGTGGTGAGCAGACTGTAGACGCCGATTTCCCTGACACTCTCCTGTCGAAAGTCTTGGTGCAGAACTTGCCAGCCTGGGTCATTCAGCCTCTAGCGAGGCGGGAGATCCACAAGCTGTCGGATCGGATCGGTTTTCGGCTGGACTACCAGCTGGTCGCGGTCGATGCGGAGGACGCAGGCCACACTCTGGGCCCAGATGTTGGTGACGTGCTGCGGGAGGCAAAGGTCATACATCTGCAGTGAGCGAGGTCGGCGGTAGACCGCAACCGTTTGAAGTGAAGAGCAGCTGCACACTTGGCCAGCGGGTGGCGAGGGCCCCCGGCGCGGCTTAGGGAGGACAGCATGGCGTGGCCGCGCGCGTCCCCGCATGTGAAGAGGGATCCTCTTCCTCTCTCCTCTCTCCTCTCTCCTCTCTCCTATTATTCGTCTTCTTCCTATTATAATAATAATCATAATCATAATACTAATAATAATAATAATAATGTTAATAATAATCATACTAGTAATAATAATAGTCATAATAATAACAATAATAATAATAATACTAATACTAATAATAATAATAATAATAATAATAATAATAATAATAATAATAGTAATGATTATTATTATTATTATTCCTTCTTTTCTTCTTCTTCCTCCTCCTCCTCATCCCCCTCCTCCTCATCCTGCTCCTCCCCCTTCTCCTCCTCCTCCTCCTCCTCCTCCTCCTCCTCCTCCTCCTCCTCCTCCTCCCTGGAGCCTTTTTTTTCATTCTGGGCCGATGCCGGCCGTCATCTGGGGGGAGAGGGGGGGCCGATGACGTCACGTTTCGCACCAGCGGCGTCTGGGAATGCTTAGGAAAGCCGAGGACGAGCAGCAGCAGCAGCAGCAGCAGCAGCAGCAGCAGCAGCAGCAGCAGCAGCAGCAGCAGCATGTAGGTAGCGATATGCACCACAGCGCCTGTGTACACCACAGTGCTTGCGTGCACCACAGCCTGCGCACACCACACCGCCTATGCACACCACAGTAACCATGTGCAACACAGCGCCAGTGTGTGCCACAGTGCTTGCGTGCACAACAGCGCTTGTGCACACCACGGCGCCTGTCTGCACCACATCACTCATGTGCAACACAGCACCAGTGTACAACAAGTGCCTGCGTGTACCACAGCGCCTGTGTACACCACGGCGCCAGTGTGCACCACAGAAACTGTGCGCAACATAGCACCATTGTTGCATATAGAATGTCCAACGAATCCCGTTTGACAAAATGCATCGCCCTGCACTTACCCCACCTCCTTCCCACGTCCTCCCGAGTCCTCCCACCTCTCTCCCCTTTCTCCCATCTTCCCTTTGTCCTCCCCCTCCTCCTCTTCGTCCTCCTCCTCCCCCTCCGCCTCCTCCTCCTCCTCCTCCTCCTCCTCCTCCTCCTCCTCTCCCTCTCGCCCCGAGCACGGCAAAACGAACCGCCGCGCGGGCCCGCGGCCCCCCTCCGAGCTCTGCCGGCGGTCGGGCAGCCATGAAGCGCGACGCGATCAAGTCTATCCACTCGCGCTGCGTGCAGCAGGACGCTGGGGCAGGGGGGAGGACGAGGAGGATGAGAGGTTGGATTACCTACCCCGCTTGCGCTACAAGGCAACTGAAAGCGGCCCGACCGCTGCGGACCACCCCACGCGAGGCTTGCTATCGCTTGGCTCCCGTTTGGAAACGAGAGTTGTCAAAAGCGAGGTAGGTTCGTTTGCTTTCCAGAGGAGGAGGGAGGTAAGGAGAAGGAGGGGGAGGAGGAGGAGGAGGAGGACCAGTGTAAACCCAAGAGTCATCAACGATGTTGGATTAAACCCTCCCTCCAAGCTCCCTCTTTATAGGCCCCTACAACGGTTCATTTCCACTGAGGGAACTGCTTCGTTGGAAAACAACCTTTTAAGACCCTGGATCATGCCCAAACATTGTTCTCGGGATTCCAACGCCACGGATCAATCTGCCTGCATCCTTCCAAACACACTTTCTGGTACGCTGATCATGGGTTTCCGCGAAACGCTTGCAGCGTTTTAAAACGGATGTGCGCGGCGCTAAGGCGAGAACCACAGTTTGAAAAGGAGCCACCCTCAATCCGTGAAGCTCTTGCAAATTTCAAAAAACGAATGCACGCGGCGCTAAGACGAGAGCCACATTTTGAAAACGGGCCGCCCCCATTTGTGAAACTGTTATCAATGTTCAAGCTTCAGGCCCGTAAATAGGCGATCTCAGGCGAAACGCCCGGCCCGTCCTAAAACTGTATTCGGGGTGCGACAGGGGGAAATTAGTTATGAGGAAGAGGAATGGAGGAGCAGGAGGAGGATGATGGTGATGATGAGGAGGAGGAGGGAGAAAGAGGGTTAGCAGGAGGAGGGGGAGGAGAACGAGGGGGGAGGAAGAGGAGGAGGAGGAGGAGGAGGAGGAGGACCAGGGTAAACCCAGGAATCACCAACGATGTTGGAATGAACCCTCCCCCAAGCTCCCTCTTCACAGGCCCCTACAACGGTTCATTTCCACTGAGGGAACTGCCTCGTTGGAAAAACAACCGTTTCAAGACCCTGAATCATGCCCAAACATTGCTCTCGGGATTCCAACGCCATACGGATGAAACTGACTGTTGCGTCTTGGCGATCCTGAATCGTGCCAGAACGCCATTTCTGGGGCCTCAACTCCGCGAATCATCTTAACTGTTGCGCCCTTATAATCGTGAGTCCTTCCAACACTATGTCTGGTACGCCGATCATGGGAATTCGTGAGATTCTTGCAATTTTGTATCCAGAATGTGCGCGGCGCTGAGGCGAGAACCACATGTTGAAAAGGAACCGCCTTCAATCCGTGAAACTCTTGCAAATGTCTAAAACGAATGTGGGCGGCGCTAAGGCGAGAGCCACATGTTGAAAAAGAGCCGCCTTCAATCCGTGGCACCCTGGCGAACTTGTGAAACGAATGCACGCGGCGCTAAGGCTAGAGCCACATTTTGAAACCGATCCGCCCGCAATTCGTGAAGTCCTTGCAAACTTTTAAAACGAATGTGCGCGGCGCTGAGGCGAGAGCCACATTTTGAACACCACCTGTCCTCAATCCGCGAAGCTCTTGCACATTTAAGAACGAATGCAACCGGCGCTAAGGCAAGAGCCACATTTTGAAAACCACTCGCCTTCAATCCGTGAAACTCCTGCAAATGTTGGAAACGAATGTGCGCGGCGCTAAGGCGAGAGCCACATGTTGAAAACCACCCGGCATGAATGTGTGAAACGATTGTCAATGTTTAAATGTCAGGGTCATAGGCGGTGAGCAAGTCTCAGGCGGAACGCCAGGCCCGCCCTCGAGCTGGCCTCGGGGTGCGACAGGGAGAAGTTATTCGCAAGGAGAAGGAATGGAGGAGGAGGAAGAGGAGGAGGAGGAGGAGGAGGAGAGGAGGAGGAGGAGGAGGAGGAGGAGGAGGGAGGAGGGAGGGAGGAAGGGAGGGGGGCGGGAGGGAGGGAGGGATGGGAAAGGAGGAGGAAGGAGGCGGAGAGGAGGGGAGGAGGAGGAGGAGGGAGGAGTAGGAGGAGGAGGAGGAGAAGAGGAGGAGGAGAGGACGGAGGGAGGGATGGGAGGGAGGGGGAAGGCGGGGGAGGGAGGGAGGGAGGGAGGGAGGGAGGAAGGGAGGGAGGAGGGAGGAGGGAGGGAGGGAGGAGTAGGAGGAGGAGGGGGAGGAGGAGGAGGAGAAGGAGGAGGAGGAGGGAGGAGGAGGGAGGAGGAGGAGCGAGGAGGGAGGAGGAGGAGGAGGAGGAGGAGGAGGCGGAGGATGATGCAGTGGTGCAAGGACAGGACATCGGTGAATAAATCCACCTCGCCACCACGTGGCAAACCCCAGGTTAATGGCCACCACGTGGCAAACCCCAGACTAACCACTTGCTGCCCCTGGAAGAGGCCCAAGCTCGTCTGCCTCCCTGTGGCTTCGTCGCAGCCCTTTCGCCCATCCAACCGCCGATTCGGACGAGGAGGGACCGTGCAAGGAGGTGACCTTGCAGTGGTCCAGCACGGGAACCTTAGTTCCAGACTTCCAGGGGCTGTCGGGGACCCCCCGCGGGCCCCCCATCGGCCCCAGGACCGCCCCCAGGAGGCCCGCTCGGAACGCCAGGGGGGGGGGCCCGACAGCCTCTCGTGCAGCCATTCCGCGTCGCTCTCGCCAGCTCCCCTGAACCCAAGGAGCCCCAGAGGCGAGAGCGCAGACGGGTGCCAGCGGCGCCTGAGGCGAGAGCGCTGTGTCTCGAGACCCACATGCTGGGCCCCGAGACACTTGGCAGCAAGGCCTTTCCCAGGGGACACGCGTTGGCTCGACCAGGCCCCGCACGCCTTACTCAGGAGAACAGGGCCGGGTGATCGTCAGCATCGCCTCCCACACCGCGCGCAACAGCAGAGTGCCCTTTCAAGCGCCACGACCTTCCATTGATCCCCCCCCCGCCCCGATCTCCACCCCGCCCCCCGCTCTTTAGGCGGCCTCGGGCTCGGGCGCGGGAGAGCGCAGGTGATCTGTGCTTCGAACCTGCAAGCCCGCGGGCCTCCAGAGCCTCGCTCGGGGACGTTGTGGCGCTCGCGGCGGTGTTCTGGCTCATCGCGGTCGTCTTCGTGGCGCCCGTGGAGGTGTCCGAGGATGTGGGAGTGAATTTGTTGAGGTAACAAAAAAACATGTCCCCCTCTGGCCCTCCGAGCTCGCCAAGCTCCAACACCACCCCAGCGGTTCCTGCCGCCCCGTCGGCGTTGGCAAAACCCCGGTCCACGAGCCACGACTTGACACGGCCAACCCACCTGATGATATCATGCGCTCGCGCCTCGCAAGCTTCTGCAAACCAGGTTCTCGACCCAGGGGTGTGCCACAGAGCAGCCCCTTTCGTGGCCCGGCGATATGCAGCAGCATTACCTCAGCCTACGCCATGTGTCTGCAAACGAGGAGTCCTCGCGGGCACAGGTGTGAGCTTCAAGTTAACAGACCTTCGCCGAGCCAGAAGTGAGGATTGGGATTCGACGGGAACAGCGGCCACTTGGGCCCGTCCGTGTAAGGCGAGGCTGACAACTTGCACCACGCGCAGAACGTAAAATCACCAGCGTCTCTCGAGCTCTGACTCGGGGACCAGGCCACGGGGACAGCTCCGTACATGGCGCAGTGGAAGTTGCCATCGCCATTGATGCGCACACCCGACCAGCCTCCGTGGGAGGTGTAGAACGACGACCCATCCACGAACACCTTCCCCGATAATAACC